CAGAGCCAAAGACCAGAGCTGAATTCTTAAAATATTCACATGAAATCACACTGGATCCAAACACAGCAAACACACATCTGTTATTATCTGAGGGGAACAGAAAAGTAACAAGAATGAAACAACAACAGTTTTATTCTGATCATCCAGACAGATTTGCTGATTGGTGTTTTCAGGTCCTGAGTAGAGAGAGTCTGACTAAACGTTGTTATTGGGAGGTGGAGTGGAGAGGGGGAGAGGTTTGTGTAGCAGTCACATGCAAGAATATCAGCAGAGTTGGGAGCCTCAATGAATGTGTATTTGGATTCAATGACAAATCTTGGGCATTATATTGTTACACTAACAGTTATCAGTTCTTGTACAACAGTGCACAAACTGTCCTCTCAGGTCCTCGGTCCTCCAGAGTAGGAGTGTACCTGGATCACAGAGCAGGTATTCTGTCTTTCTACAGTGTCTCTGAAACCATGACTCTCCTCCACAGAGTCCAGACCACATTCACTCAGCCGCTCTATGCGGGACTATATCTTTATGGAGATGGATTCACTTCAGAATTGATTAAAGTGAAATAGACAGAGAAGACAGGTTCATGTTGATCCCTGACCATTATATGTACTTGTGTAGTTTCTAAATGAGGCTTTACATTTTAGACGGAGAAGTTCAGCTGTCCATTTGTTCTGGATTTTTTGAGGACATATATAACATATAATCATGTATGCTTGTACACAGTAGATATCCACACTGGAATGTTTTTCATAGAGGATTTACCCTGCTAAGCATTTAACTCTTATAATCAAACTCTATAAGACTCATATACTTAAGTGAAATATTATCCATATTCATATCATAAGGCTGTGTCATCTGTTGAATGATTACCTGTCCATGCATACAGTTTGCTCTGTAATTTATTAAGTACAACTTATATGTAACTTTTGACAGATTTATAGACCATGGTGACAGGTTATGACATACAGATAGTCGAACTTGGCCCATTGGAAGATGCACCTGGTATGACAGTCCAAACTGGGCCAACAATCATTAAGTTCAAACGTTTGAGCTCACTTTGGCCCTAACCCTGTAAAAGGGAGTCATAAAAGTGATGGACAATAAGGAGGGGAAAGAAAGGCAGGGCAAGTTATGTAACACAAGTATTGAATATCAGAAACACAACAACGTGGGTAAAAATTGATGCATCGGAGTTAACCAGTGATTTAATCCATAATTGTTGTAATATCAACATTTGCAAAGTTGGCAAAATACTTGTACTAGTTTAAACTTAAAACTAAATCAGTGAAAGGACAAGGAATGGTAAAGTTACTCAGCAGCTGTTTGTTGTCTCCTATTACAGGAAGGTCAGATATGACCCCACTAGCTTTTTCTTTTTGTTACTTTGTGTGTCTCTACTGATTGTGCTTAAAGGCTCTACACCCTGGCCTTTGCTTTGTTTGTTTTGCCGTGTGTTGTCTTCTTGTTTTGTGTATTGTGATATACTGTTTTGCTGTTCATATAACTCTGTTTAAAGAACCCTGTTTCAAGAATTCTGCTCCTTTTCAGAGAGAAAAAAAATTTGAGTGACTTGATTTTAATTCAATCTAAAAAGCTGAATCTCCACACCATTGGCCGAATATCACGTTATCACGTTGGCTTTAAAATTGCAACCCACCACATTGATGTGTGAAAATAATATTGCACTGATTCAAACTGTACTTACATTTATATACCTTACATCAATATAAATCTGAATTTGTTCTTATGGCTGATAATCATGTGAGTTTAAATGATACTACTCTTCATATTCAGCATGTTTGAAATCTGTCATCAGTCTGGTTAGTGGTTTTATTCTGTAGTTGCTGTAGTGGGTTGTCAAATGCAACAATATATTGGAGCTGCAGTGATTCATCAGTTAGTCAATGATTAGAGAATTGATTGTTTTATCATTATTTTAGTCACATTTAAAGCTGCTTCCAGTTTCTGAAATGTGAAGATTGTTGATTTTCTTGATCATATGTGACTGTAAACTTAATGTCTTTGAGTTTTTAAATGTTCCAATGTAGTAAGATTTGAATCCTTGAGGTTTTTGATATTGCATTATTATTTTGTCTAGAATGATGACATTTAATGTCATTTTTTGGGATGTAAAGTTTGATCACACTCGATCATTTATACATTGAAATATAAATACTAAATAACACAGGCCTGTATATTGTGGAGGATCGACATGTTTCTATGCTCTGAGCTGTGTCTGGCAAGCAGAGTGTCTCCACAAATCTGATGCTTCTGATTTGGAGAAAATGAGCTGAGGGAGACACCTGGTGGACAAACACAGACATGACAGGAACAAAGACTAAAGTGCAGAGTGGAGACAAACAGCTGGAAATACTTGTTGGAAAAGATTGTCATGCTTCAGAAAAACACACAGCACACACTCTAACAGTCCTTTATTTGCACTGAAGGAGACACGTGAAGAAACCAAATCACACAATAATGAAGTGAACACATTTATAGTCAGTGTTCAAGATGATGGATAGAAATGAGAATCGTGGAGCATTTATACATTTATAGGTCTGTGACTTACAGCAGAAGCAGCATTCACATGAATTCACCAACTGTTTATTTCTCTGTTATTCTGATTAAAATGTCAAATAAATATATTTTCCACTTTTGTGGCAGGAATTTCTCGGTCCTGCATGTCGAGAAATCTGCTGTTAAATCAGAACATTAACAGACTTCAGATTGTATTCAAAGACATGTTACTTTGTATCATCTGTCAGCAGGCATGTGTTAACAGGGACTATCAGACAGTTTAGTGGTAAGGAGAAATATTAATCGGATTGGAATCCACAATTCCTACAAAGTATACAGTTAATGTGTATGTGTATGTGTATGTATACAGTTAATGAAACTAAAAGAAATAAATCATTTATCCCTGCTCAAACACTCGATGTTTGTCATACTTTTTTGTCATTTTGTTTTACTTTTGTGACTCCTGGTTTTAGGCTGATTCAAAGAGGAAAACAAGATTAACAGATTATTGCTTTGTTGAAAGCACCAATGCAGCAAAATGTTTGAAAGTTACCTCTGTGGTAGCTGTCTTGTTTGTTTCTGTAAAGAGGAAGCTTGTCTTAACTGCACTTCTTTTATAGGCCAGTTTGAATTGAGAAGCTGTGGTCTCAGAGTATATAAAGCTGGCAGGAAATGAATAGGGGGTCATTGAAAGCTGTATATACTGGGTTAATTAGATCAGTATTGGACTATGGGTGTATAGTATATAATTCTGCTGCTGAAACAAGTCTTGGAAAGCTAGATAGTATCTAATAGCTGTGTCCCAATCCAGTGACCACACGCTTTGTAGTACGCGCACTTTGTGGACTAGTGATTTGTCAGTCACGAATGAAATGGCTCTTAGAACTGGATCTTTGACATGGACTACGCGAGCCGGCTCCTTATCGGGAGCCGTGTTTTGTTTTGTTTTTCTTTCTATCACCCTCTCTCTCGCACTTTTTTCCCCGCTTCACTCCGCATGTGAGCCTTGTGTTTTGCGCTGGGCAGAGGGGGAAGGGGCGGTAGTTACACTCGCAGTAGCACAGGAACAGAGCCAGAGGGAGAGAGAGAGAGAGAGCCAGGGACAACAACGTCAC